GCTTGGTAACTTTGTTAGTAGAGCTATAATATTAGTTTTTGCAGAATTTTTTCTTATAATACCACATATATATTTTTGATTTACATAATACATCGCACACCTCAATTAAACCATTGTTGCTGATATCCCTTTTTTTCGACAAGAACCATCTCTGATGACTTAGATCACAAAAGTAATTCCGGTCATTGTCTTTAGAATTAGAGTTAAGGTTAGTGCAATTTTTAAAAAAACTTGTCGATGAAATGAGCTATCAATGAAGTAATTGTCGGTGAAATAAACTTCTCAGTGAATTGATTGTCGGTGAAATGACACGGATCCAATTATATCCTGTTAGTAAAATGGATTGTCAGTATTAGTATTACAACTTCGGTGAAATGTTATTTCAAAAAAAAAATGGACTTTGGGAAGTCAACCCGGAACCAATTAAACACCCATATATCAAATATAAATAGACTTTATTTTTCCAACTTAAACCATATATAACATGGATGAAATTAAAATACAGATATTCAAAGAATACATAATGACATTCAAATTAAAATTATTACTACACAATAGTAAAATGATAATGTAAAGATAAATTATTACGAGCTATAATCAATTATAAAAGAAGAAATATATACCTAATAAACCATACACAGTCCGATCGCTATAGGAACCGAACTTATAACAACAAGAATCTAGAGAACAGCATATTTATAGAAATCAAATATACATTTTGTCTAGAACTTAAGATGTATTTAAAGAGGTCTCTGTGAATATCCTGAGATAGGTCTCTGTGTATATTCTGAGTAAGGTTTATCTGAATATTCTGTATATAATGAACCAGGGGTTGCAATAGAATCATGACTATCGCGTTTACAAAGTTTATTATAAATGAAAAATCCTGCAAATCCTATAATAACAAGCCCAGCCACTGCACCTACACCAATACCAATCTTTGCACCTAATGAGAGTGAATTATCTGAATTCGAACTTTTATTATTATCCGGTTTTGGTGGACTAGTTCCATTTATAATTGATATATCAAAAGTATTAACCCACGTATAATTTTGTGTATTAAAGAGATATATATTAGTATTTAATGTAAATGGCGCTCCTGGCGGTGGTGGTTGTGAAGGAACAATTGCACCTAAATACAGAATAAAATTAAATTATTAAGCTAGAGGCTCTTTTAGAAATTAGTACTCAAAACGATTAATCTAAAATAAAGTAAACCATTAGTGAATTGTATAATTCACTTAAGTTTTTATATTCGGATTAAACCGGAGCACTAATTATTAGTTTTGAAATTAAAATAATATGATTACCAAATGCTACAATCATATATATTCCATATGATACTGCTGAATGATACTTAAGTACTTGTGGTGCTTTATCTGTAATAGCCTTCCACGTATATGGTGATACCTTTATATCTAATATTGCAGTATCAGGTGTTGGCTGAGAGCCACCGTTTATTTGCCCACCATAAATAATAATTTGTCCATCTTGAGCTATTTAAAAATTAATATTAAATTTATAATAAATAAGAAATAATTATTAATAATTATAAATAATAATTAATGTGTGATCCGCCTGGGAAAACATAGTAAACCATGAGGAAATTTACTTTTTTTTGCATTTTTTTTTGGGATCCAACGTTTCTCAAAGGATAAATCGATTTCTTACTAAGTAAACCTTCTTTCTACTTCTAATTAAAGTTGTAGAGGAGAGAATTCGGTCATAGCGGCAGTTAAAGCGTTAAAATCGGCCCAGTCGATCATGAGATATAAGATGTAAACATATAGCCGCGAAGACAATAATGCTCATATCTAGCGAACCACTGTCAATTTTAACGTTTTAACCGTCGCTATGACCGGAATTCTCTCCACTGCAACTTTATTAGAAGTAGAAGTGAGGTTTACTAGTAAAAAAAAATCGATGTATCCTATGGAATAGAGATTGAACCCGTTGAGAAAATCTCTACCCGGGTATTATTAAATTACCCGGGTTATCCGGGTAAGTTATTATATATTTCGGGTAATCGTATAGTAACAATTTCTACCCGGGTTCAATCCCTATTATGGAAATGCCAGATTCCGAAAAAGGCAAAAATATAAATATATCTCCACAGTTTATTATTATTTTTTTTTTACTGGTTCTCAAGAGAATCACGAATTAATAATTATTAAAGTACATACTTAATACAGCTGTGTGTGAATAACGAGCTCCAATTGAATCTCCACGAGTCGTCTTAAAAAAAAGTCAACATTTATTCTTTTAAAATTTGCTAACATTATTATATAACACGTACGTACGTACATGGTACTCACCATAGTCAACCATTTTAAATTCGCTGTATCAAATACCAGAATCTACTTAATTTGATTTAATTGGTTATTATACAAGATATGAATTTGAAGCTTTTCTTTATAAATTACAAAATACCTCATTCAAATCAAAAGTATTAGTATAACCTAAACCTCCAATATAATATATAAAACTATCTTTAAATGTAGCACTATAAGATATACGAGTCATTGGGGGATTGGGCCAATTTAATGTTGTCCATGTCATTGTTTTTGTGTCGAATATATTTGTGTCATTAAAAGCACTATAAGTAGTTGTTGCCGTTAAGTTTGATAAATATCCTCCAAAGATGTAGCATTTTCCACTACTGTCTGCAGGACCTACAATATTTGTACGTCCCAAAAACGTACTATTAAAATTAGTAATAGTTGGTGTTGTCCATTGTAAAGTATTAAAATTAAATGCATATGCTGATGATGGTGGAAGCATAAGAATTGATGAATTTAGCGGATCTTGTGACAATCCACCAACTAAGAAAACTGTGGATCCGTCAGTAGAAAGACATGGTACAGTAGAATAAAGTTGAATTGGAATTGGTGAAGCAGCAATTTCAATCCATGAAGGTGAGGTAATATTAAATGAATTTGATAAATCAAGATATAATACTTGGTTCGTAAACCTAGGATTCATAGTATTACCACCAAAAAAGTAGAACTTGCTCCCAATTAAAACACTAGCCTGTCCATTTCGACTATCAGGAGTAAAGCATGTCACAATTGTGAGTACTAAACTAACAACTATTAGAGAACTAAATAAGATTCGAAATGGATTCATTTCATGTATCTTGAAATCCAATTCCTAAAGAAGACGTGGAATCTGCACTTAATTAGCGTTAGTTACATTGTTAACCCATTAATATTACCCTGTTTGACCAACTTTAGTATATTATGGATTCGATCTTCTTTTGTGTACCCACGTGATTTTGACATTTTAATCGTTTTAATTAAAACTAAGGTTAGGATTAGGGTTAGTTTGGTGTTTTGGTGTGATATAAGAGAGGGATATAGGTAAAATTTCCTTCCCGACATTTTTAACTAGTGCCCCAAGACAGGTTTAGACTGCTGTTTTTCGTTTTTTGCGTTTTTTGACTTCGTCGGGCTGATCCGTGTCCGATTTGTCGATTTACATACAGGTAGGACCGTTCTAAATAAGGAAATGATGATCCATATTAGTTTAGCCAATTAAATCGTTAATTTTTTTATCATGTGAAAAATATCACATGTTGATTAGCCAATCAAATCTTAATTTTTATAAAATGAAAGAAACGAAATTTAATTAAAATTTATAATTAAATTCAAAATAATTGCCGCTAAATTTTACTGTTAGGTAAGCGAGCATGTATTTATTAATTTAAATTAGGATTATTGATTTTTCTATAGTATTTATTAAAAAATCTTAATATTCTATATATGTTTAATTATACGTCTATTTCTATGTATAATCCTACATAATCCTATGCCTAATTCTATATCTACTTATATTTCTAATATCTTATACCCTACTATTTTACAAAGCTACCATACTAATAAGAAACCCTTGCAATTTTAATATATCTCATATATAAACTTTATATCATATTATAAAAACACCTATAATCATATTATTATTAATAAATCATATAGTTAATTAACATTATTTATATACTTTCATTTTCAAAAGATTTTTTTTTTTTTTTAATATTAAAGTGACCTCTTGGTTGGTAGCTTTATTGGTTTTATGTGCTAAGCAGATCATAGTCAGCCGCTATTCATTTTGGTACATGATTTTGGAGGATATAACTAGCCACACATATAACTTTTGATTGTCTATTTTAGTAGTCCACCTGAAGATTCTACACTAGATATCATATCTATAATCCAACTAGGGGATTATCTATTTAAGCTTTCTGCGTCATCACATTCTTATAAGATAACCAATCCTGCTATAGGAAGTATACCTACCTAGAGCTAATTTACTCTTGAGGTAAACTTGCTAGAGCTTTTCATACTTACAATCTGGCTAACCTAGACTTTGGTAACTTATGCCGAGTCCAAGGACAAGTACTTGCAAGTCGAGGTCACTACTATTATCTACTTCTGCTCTTGTAGATTTTACCCAAACCCCAGTATATACTTTACAGACTATCATCAGTTTTAATCTTGACAATTCTAAACTACCAATCTAGATAGCCCAGAAGAGCTGTGATCTGCTTCTGGTTTCCACGGTTGGGTCCTTTTTTTCTGGTTACTCTTCTGGCAGTCTGGTTGGTGGAGTACCTTGCCAAAACCTTCGGTCCTGTTCAGTTTTGCCAGTTCTCTCAATGATAATCTTTTAGTAATACTGTTGAAGATTTGTATTACCTCTCTATTCAGATCTTGCCAAGCGAGCATCTATCATCCTTCCCAGTTCTCTGGGTTTACTAGATCTAAAAACTTATTTGTATAATTCGTATATTACACAAATGTCTCATAATCTCCTAATCTTTGTTAGTATTACCAAGGTTACAAAGATATTTTAACCAATCAACGGAATAACAATAACTGTTGTATAGATAGAATTTTCGAATTCATCACTAGTATGTTTTGAACCCTCTATCTAGCCAACATATCACTTGGGGGTGTGACAACTTAATCATTTTACTAAGTCATCACACCCTTTCTAAAGGATTTCTATACAATACATATAATAAAAAAATACTAACTAATTTATTTCTCCTACACTAACATTATTAATCATTATTTTAAGTTTTTTTTTGCCAACAACTCTATAAAAAAATATATATAAATAGTGAAATTCTATTTTCACCAGGTTAAAGTTACCTGATATATAATTTCCATTATATTATATAATAGAAACTACTATAGCCAACTAAAAATTTTATAGATTAGTTAGTTAGAGGTTAGGGTAGATAAATTTTATGATATAATATAAATTTATATTATATAGTATAATAAAATATATATCAGGTGACTTTAACTCAGGTGAAAATAGAATTTCCTATAAAAATAATAAAAAAAATTACAAATAATATACAGAATATAATATATATACTGAATAATAAGTTTATATAATAAATTAATATTGAATTATTATAAAATTGATATAAAATCATTTTTGATACAGAATAAATATTAAATTGTTATACTAAATAGATATAGAATTATTTTGATACAGAATGAATGTTAATTTATTATATTGATAAATACAGAATAGATGCTAAATTATTATTCTGAATAGATATAGAATTATTTTTAATACAGAATGAATGCTGAATTATTATACTAAAGATATAGAATTATTTTTGATACAGAATGAATGCTGAATTATTATACTAAATGATGCAGAATTATTTTTGATACAGAATAATTATTGAATTGTTATATCAAATAGATACAGAATTATTTTTAATACAGAATAAATACTGAATAGTTATACTAAATAGATACGAAATCATTTTTAATACAGAATAAATGCTGATTTATTATACTAAATGAATATGAAATTATTTTTGATATAGAATAATTATTAAATTATTATATCAAATAGATACTGAATCATTTTAATACAAAATAAATGCTAAAATATTATATTCAATAGATGTAAAATCATTTTAATACAAACTACAAATAAAATTAATTATTTTATATGTTAAAGCTAAAGAAAACCCAAGATTCAGTTGTTGTTATATAATTATAATTCTTTAAAAATAAATATTACAAATAAAATTAATTATTTTTTATATGATTAAGCTAAAGAAAACTCAATATTTGGTTGTTGTTATATAATTTATACGAAATATATTTTAAACTTTAAAATATTTAAATTTACTTTAAAGTTATATTATTTTTTTTATCTAATATATAATATAGTATATCTACTCAAATTTTAAAGAAGAATGATATAAGTGGACGGGTGGTCAAGTCCATTTATGCAAAGGACCAAGATAATGACAGTCAGACCAAATATACATGGCAGACTATGAAATCCTTTGCAGCTGTGAGAACCGAGCTTAAAACGGCGAGCGACCCTTCAGAAGAACTTCCATCCAAGTCATCATCA